CAGGGAAAACCTAAAGATCTCCCTGAAGCTGTTTGAGAATTTTTTTTCCTACCACCCCTATTATTATGTATATATATTTTATTTAAAAAACAAATACTTTGGGACGAAACTTCACAAAAATATGATTTACAAGTAAAACAACATAGGTAACTCAGAGCTACATCTCGAATACTTCGTCCAGCTCCCCTGCGGTGGGCTGCGTGCCCAGAATGCTGCAGGCATTTCCTCTCTGGACCCGCAACACTGAGTCTCTAAAAAGAGGAAGCTGGTCGCCCTGTGGTCCTTGGTTTCTATGAGAGCTTTTCACCCAGCTCTTTGAGGAACTTTGGGAGCACCACTTGCCCCATGCTCCAAGGGTCCCCGACCCTATTGGAATGAAGTTATAGCAAGGGGGAAAGGTCTTAATATTTTCGGATCTTCTGGGTCTCCCTGTGGCTGGCAGTCCACCCCTTCCACTACAGAGTATGGCAATTAGGTGTCTCCCAAATTTGGGGCCCAGCACAGGTGTAGTCCCAGGCAATCTGCTTTCCATCCTTCCAGGGTAGCATAGTGGCTCCATCAGGACGCTTTTGACTTCCATCAGACCTCTGTACTTGGGGTTCCCGTTGAGCTGGGCAACGGGCTGTGGCGAGGCTTCTCTTTATTATGTCATTGATCTCCTCATGTCTGGCATACTTCCCTTCTGCTGTGTGGCACACGAGACCATGGAGTCCCGAATTGATCAGCGGGTCGCCCTGCCGCAAATACACCTATGTTCGGTGAGGATGGGGGCGGCTAGGCGAAGAGCAACACCAATCCGAATGGCCTGTGGGTCGAGACGGGTGCCAGGGAGGAATTGGGGAACAGCTAACAGGAAATCTCCTGAGTTTTGGTGCCTTCACTGCCAGGAGACGAGCTTTGTTCTTTCCTGAAGCATTGGAGAGCATTGTGTTGGCGATTTTTTCCATGATCGGTTTGTCCCCGTGGGATGTTTGTGCTGTTTGGGGGGAGCTGGTCTATGGAGGAGGTTGTAAAGGGTTTTCCCAACCCAATTGGGTGCCCTTTAGTAAACCTGGGGTCTTGAACTCCTACCAAGTCTCTCAAAGCGTTCGGGCACTATCTTCTTGACTAATGCACTGGAAGCCAAACACGAAGACAGAAAAGCAGGTAAAGCAACATGCGTTGCTTTACGCACACCTATACCCCCCAGTCGCACTGGGGGGGTTGCCTGATCCCCTTTCTCATCCTCTAGTGACAGGTTCAGGGGCCTTCTTAAAAGTTGATCTCAGGTGTGCGTCATATTCATCGAGTGTTGGGTTGTCAAAAGAGGGTGCACACTCAAGAAGTAATGAGTCTTGGGATAGTAAGACACCTTGGGGAGGAGATGCAGAGCCTCATGGGCATCAAGATCGCTTATTCTCTCCTCCATTCTCATAAGGTCATTCAATTTGTCCCTGAGGCAGTATCGATGGCCGGTGTGACCCGCGGTGCCCCAAGAGGGTACTGTTGGACGGAGTTGTAGTTGAGATTTTCCGGGAGGATTCCTGGCACAGCATTTATTATTTCCTGGTTCGCTGTGATGATTTCACATTTTGGAGGATTGAGGATGAGTCCCAAGCCTTCTCCCTGTGTTTTCACCAGTTGTAGGTCCCCCACGAGGGACTCTTCAGTACCTGCCAGAGTGCCGTCATCCAGGTACCAGATATTGAGCTCACTGCGTAGGCTGGAAGTTAATTCTCTTACTGCCAAGCAGAAGAGAAGTGGAGCAAGTGGGTCCCCCCTGCTGAACACCCTCTGATGATTGAATTTCATGTTCTCCAAAAAAAAGAATTGAGGGTTTGCTGTAGCCGGCTGAAATGAGGAAAGAGACTGGGAACCGAACCCGAACAGCTGGCAAAACAGCATCTCTCCTCACCATATTAAAGGCATTTCTAAAATCAAGTTTGGGCTATGGCTTATATATATTAATATATATATTTTATATATATATATATATATATATATATATATATTTTTATATATATATATATATATTTATATATATAATAATTTATATATAAAAATTTTATATATTTTTACTATATATATTTCGTGCCAAATAGGCAGAACTTGCGATCTTGGCTTAAATATTATTTATAATCAAGAGGGAGCGCTAAACCCGTAGGATTATACAGCGTCTGTGGGGAAGGGGGATGGAAGCCATTCAGGCTCAATCCAGGGAACTGGAGCACAGATCCAATTCCCTAGATCAAGAGCCCCTCACCAGCTTCAAGGAACCTCCCTTGAGGGGTTGGCTTAAATAGCAACGCTCATCTTGCCATAGAGGACAAGCGAAAATTTATGTATGCAATAATTTCGCCAAAATCATTCTGAACCTAACGAAAAAAATATGTTTCACTGTTTGTTTAGTATTAAATTATTGTAAACAAATCTAAAATATATTTAGCTGGGTTAGGCTAAAATAAATTGTTCTTGTTATAATAAGGTTAGGTAAGTTTTCTAAGATTCTTTTGGAGCAAAATTAATTTTTTTTTACATTAACATTAATGAAAAAAATATATCTTAAAACGTATAAAAGAAATTTTTTAATAAGGACTTAATTTTAAACGAGTTCTTACTAATTGACCAGTTTTACATATTCGGCACGACATATATATATAAATTTATATAATATATATAATATATATATATTTTCAACAAGTCGGTCGTCTCCCACTTTATTTCGGGATCCTTCGTGGTCTTTATTTTACAAGTTTAAAATAAAAACAAACTTGGCTGGGAAAATAAACTGGACGTGGTTACACAGTCTGCCTTATTTGATGTCAGGAGCAGCGTTGCAACAGCAAGTCATGAGTTGCTGTGTTGAACATCCCGGGTGACGTCATCAATGGGGCTGAGTTTAGAGCTCAGAAAACTGTTGCTTACTGAGTTCCCATTGGTTAAATCTAATATTTACATTCAATTAGACTGGTTGGTAGTTTTTATGGATGTGGAGTTTCCTCTATCAATGAAATGCGAACTCGGGAGAGATTCGATTAGACCAACTTACGAGTTGCTGTTGATGCTGTATGGTTTTCACGGAAACAACTGAAATTATTAAAACCTAAGCGCTAAAAGCCCACAAGGGTCCTTACAGCGTCCTATGTGGATAGATATTGTCATGGGGAGGGAACGCTAAACCTGTACGGATTATACAGCGCCTGTGGAGGGTGAATGGTGTTAGGCATTCAAGCTTCAGGGAACTGGAGCAGATCCAAATTCCTGTATCAAGAGCTCACCAGCACCAAGGAGCCTCCCTTGAGGGGGTATTTTAATCACACCTTTATAATCATGGGGGAGCGCTAAACCCGTAGGATTATACAGCGTATGTGGGGGAGGGGGAGATGAAAGGTATTCAGGCTCAATTCAGTGACCCCTCAAGGAAGGTTCCTTGATGTTGGTGAGGGGGCTCTTGATTTAGGGAATTGGATCTGTGCTCCAGTTCCCCGAATTAAGCCTGAATGCCTTCCACATCCCCCCTCCCCTGGGCGCTGTATAATCCTACGGGTTGAGCGCTTCCCCCTTGATTATAATAATATGGAACTGGATCTGTGCTCCAGTTCACTGAATTTATTATTATTATAATCAAGGGGAAGCGCTAAACCCGTAGGATTATACAGCGCCCAGGGGAGGGGGGATGTGGAAGGCATTCAGGCTTAATTCGGGGAACTGGAGCACAGATCCAATTCCCTAAATCAAGAGCCCCTCACCAACATCAAGGAACCTTCCATGAGGGGATCCAGTTCCATAGATCAAGAGCCCCTCAACAGAATTAAGGAACCTCCCTTGAGAGGTCAATGCCCAACAGCAGCAGCAGTGGGTATTATAAAATCGAAACTAAGCGCTAAACCTACAAGGGTCATACAGCGCTGCAGGGCAGGATGTGCTAATGTAACATGCGGAGAGAGACCAGCGGCAGCATTGGGTAAATGCCCATTAGCAGCAAAAATGTTAAACCCCTTAAGTCATAGCATCTGAGGATTATCATGGGGGAGCGCTAAAACCATAGGGATTATACAGTGCCTGTGGGGAAGGGGGCGAAATTCAGAGAATTGGAGCCCAGATCCAATGCCCCTCACCAGCATCAATGATTACAATTATAATCATGGGGGAGCATTAAACCGGTAGGATTATACAGCGCATGTGGGGGTAGAGGGGTGGAAAGTATGAAGGCTCAATTCAGGGAACTGGAGCACAGATCAATTCCCTAGATCAAGAGCCCCTCTCCTTGAGAGGTTAACCCATAGTAAAGCACTTGAATAGCAAATATTATAAAAAAAAGAAGCGCTAAACCTACAAGGGTCACAGCGCCAACGAATAGCTAATAGACTAATAGGTAGTAAGGTTAAGAGTTAACTGGCACCAAAACAATCCTGGTCAAGTATTTACGAGACTGGCAGATTGAAATCACAACTTTATTGTTCTTTGTATTAGCGCTAACCCCACATGCATTATGCGATACCCTTAATTGGGCCAATTAGGCATAATCTAATGAATGGAAGACTAGCTCCAATTCCTTAAAGAACCCTTTTACCTGTATCAAGGCACTGTCCTTGGTGAATCAAAGTATTGGAAAAGCACCAAACCCATATAATACCTGGAGTATGGGAGGAAAGCTGGTTTGATCCAAGGATGGGGAGGGTTGTTTCCATTGCTACAAAAAAAAATCATTAGCAAAGAACCTACCTTGAAGTGTAGTTAGTCAAAAAGCACTAAACCCACAGTCATGCAGGAACAAGGAAAAGTTCCTATGATAATACAGTACTTAAGGAACTGGAGACAGCATTTCAGGTGTCCCCCACATCCCTTGCAATTGCCAAAGTCTTTCACACTCAAGATTTGAAAAATAATAGGGAAAACCTTGTTCACTGTATATTATACTAGGAGGTGCTGAGCCCCTACAGCACATTATCTAGTCTCCTTATGACAAGACTTACGCTAAAATAATCTATACCCATATATAAATGTGGATATTAAAAATATTTGAACTGATCATTATTTATTTATAATACACGACCTCTCATTCACAACTTGATATTGAAAATACCTTTTAATCAAACATACATGTGCACTAACTAATATGCATTACACAAGTCTGCATTCATCCTTAAAAAGTAAAACATAATTTACATGCGTCCAATAACTGTAAACAAATCCTTGTGCTCTTGACAAATCGAGAACCTCAAGTACACTAACATGCCTTAATATTACCTATCACAACTATACAAAATGAGTAGAAAAAATATTTCCATACTTTTCTTTTGCCATAGTAATTGGTCCCTCAAACCAGCACTGCTTTGCCATAGTAATTGGTCCCTCAAACCAGCACTGCTTTGCCATAGTAATTGGTCCCTCAAACCAGCACTGCAAGGCATACCATGCCATAGAGTAACAGGAACTATTCAATAAAAAATTAGAAAGGTTGGAGACTAGACTGGCAAATGGCAATCCTCACTGAACTCCAAAATGGCTTGCTATTAACCATTAGCAAAGTGAAGAGCAATCAGACATCTTAAACAGGACTCACTGGCCAATCTAATAAATGGTTACTAAATGAAAAATACAGTTTTTCTATATTCTCTAGAAATCATTAAAGTTTCCTGGAGCTCTTCTCCCTCCTTCCCATTCTGAACATAAAAGAACAGTCTAACCTCAACTTAAATAAATGCAGAATAAATAGCACAAAAAAATTGACTATTCCCCTTAACAATACCGACATCTGAAAAATGGAAACCTTACAGTGTACATTATTTGTAGTCCCCTATATACAATATTTTCTACTAGTACATATTGAAAAAATATATGGCTCACCTGTGACGTTTTCTAGTTATCCTGGTCTCAGCCCAGCTAGAGACCACTTATAAAATTTAAACCTTATCCTTGTGACCACTGCATTTTTATAAATTGTGCACCATCTGAGTATTTAAAAAAATATATGCACCATTGGTATAACTTTAGTGAACAACTTTTCAGTAAAAAATTAATTCTCTTTAACACTAAAAATATAGCCATATACACAAACATGAGCAAATTTAGCATCCTGGTATAAATACAGGAGCATCTTTATGGGAATATCTCCACCATGGTCGAGTTAGCAGGCCCTGTCATGGTAGCCACAATCGGAAGGAAGACAATTGTACAAAATTAAGGCATCATTTGTGTAATAAGCACTCTTTCACCTTGTTTAAACCGGGCCTTTTCCTTGAAGTTTGTTAGCCAGATCAGTTATAAATTCCTTGTAGATCAATGGATCCATGTTCTTTGCTGTAAAGAAAATTAACCTATTCAAAAACTTTCACTCATTAAAAATTAAATTAACAATATAACTAAATATAAATGACCAAATAACAATATAACTTTTTAAAAATCATCACTTTTCATTAAGAAACTTACCTAGCTGATAAAGCACAAACCAATCACCAATCTGGCACTTCCGGGAGATGGCTTCCACATTGTCAGAGGATGCAAGGCGAGAGCGAGTCCGGAGGAGGATCTGTCTGAAGGCTGGGGTGAACGTGGCCAAGCGGTACAGAAGACCAACTCCAGATATCACAGCCACAATGATAAACCTGTGGAAACATACCATATTAAAATCTTACAAAAATCTCGCATTTAATTTTAATAAGGTCTTATTACCTAAAAAAAAAAAAAAACTTGCAAAGTCAATAACAAAACCAGAAATTATAGTTCAAATGTTCTTTAAGCTAATAAACATTTTATAAGGTACATTAGTTGCCCATTTCAAACAATCCTAATCAGTCAAATTCTAATGCAATGCAATAAAATACAATGAACATACCAGAACCACAAGAAAATGTAGATCTTCTCATTGAAAATGTTGAGAGGAAGTACACAGAGACCATCATGCCTCTCAATTGTGCCTGATGCACCATACTTGTGGAAGGTACACTTAGCCACTTTAGGGAAAACCTCATCCATGGGGTCATGACGAGTGCCAAGTTCTTGCTCACTGAATTCAATGACACGAGTACCATATGTCGTGAACTCGTAACCCAGGAATCTAGAAAGAGACGAATCAACCTAAATTGCACGCTTAAAATGAATAAAATACCTTAACACTAATCAAATAATTTAAGAGTAAATATCAATGTCTAACAAATTAACTAATGTACAGTGGACCCCCGGTTTACGATATTATTTCATTCCAGAAGTATGTTCAGGTGCCAGTACTGAACGAATTTGTTCCCATAAGGAATATTGTGAATTAGATTAGTCCATTTCAGACCCCCAAAGATACACGTACAAACGCACCTACATAAATACACTTACATAATTGGTCGCATTGGGAGGTGATCGTAAACCGGGGGTCCACTGTATTTAATATGCAACAAATACATGCATACCTGTCAGTGAAGTAGATTTGGCCAATGACATTAATAAAGTTGAGAAGTTCACACAAGAAGAATCTAAATGCATAGAAATTGTGGTTGTGTAGATTAACACTGAAATAATCTACCAACATGGCCTTGCGTTCCCGCTTCACATCATCGTCCAAAATGGGAGAGTTCAGCTGCATCACAAGCATTTTCACCTTACCGCCTTCCCAGATCTTCCACAAATACCGAGGAATGTAGAACAGGATAGCCTGGAAAAAATTAAAGAAAAGTTACAAAATGCTAAAATACTGTATGAACTTAAAATCACTATGGAAAAATTATAAACAGTGCAGAGTAAAACTTTTATGGTAAAATTCAGACAAGCACAGTGCAGGTAAAGCTCTGATTTCTCAAATTTAGTTTGAATATCTTTGAATACAGTACTGTACTGTATTCAAGGATATTCAAACTAAATTTCCTTTGTGTATTTTTTCCAACTTTTGTTTCTTTCAGGACATACAATATTGCCTATCAAAAACCACTAAACTTTTCCATAAACAAGCAGTTCTGCATTATCAAAATTACAATATGTACAAAAATCTGCCTTGACTAACCCTTCACTAAGTATATCAATGTTATTGATGCCAGTCACTTATTTAGATCTACAGTTTGAGTTCAGCTCTATCAGACAAGCTGTGAGTAGTAAATTTTGGCCTATGAAAGAATGGGTCTGTACAAATGTGCAGAGCATAAAAAAAAAAAATTACTGCCCCACGTGGGGCAAGATGAGAAAAATAACACTGACCATATGTTTGGCTTAAAATAGTTACTCTGAGTTGTTTAACTAGGATGGATTTTATGGTTTTCTTGGCCGTTTCTTGGGATCATTTGATAGAAGGGATGATATACTACTGACACAGATTATTTTGGTTGGTTTTAGGACCGCAAGTAGCTTGAAATTACACTCAAAATAACAGAGGAAATGTTTTAGTGCCAGGAATTCCTAAGTCGGTATTTTTTAACCCTTTCAGGGTCCAAGGCCCAAATCTGGAGTCACGCACCAGTGTCCAAGAATTTTCAAAAAAAAAATTTGTTATTTTTTCTTATGAAATCGTAGAGAATCTTTTTGTGAAGGTAATAAAACAAAAAGTACGAAATTTGGTGGAAAATTGACGAAATTATGCTCTCGCGAATTTTGATGTGTCAGCGATATTTACGAATCGGCGATTTTGCCGACTTTGACTCCCATTTTAGGCCAATTACATTATTCCAATCAACCAAATTCTTAGCTATTTCACTAGTATTACTTCTATTCTATCGATTGAGCACAAGAAATCGCCAAGTCAACTGTTTCAACTACAAAATAAAGTGATCGGAAATTGTCAATTTGGCCAATTTAACACAAAGTTCAAAATATTTCAATTTCAAAATAGGGTCCAGAATAAACAATGTAGGCATTCCTGGCACTAAACTAACATTTCCTCTGTTCGTTAGTTATGTTTTGAGGCTTTACAAATAAATTCCATTTTGATTTTTTATTCACATAATGAATTTTTATTCACACCAAAAAATAGAAGATTTACTGTTATGCAATACTGTAATAATTGTATAAATATCTTCACCATATTTGTGAATGTATATTAGACCCACCAGCTGACGTGTATTAGATGTGTGAGGTCGTTTGTTTACTCTTGAATATCGGCAAAAATTTAACATTTCTGCTACTTTGAGCTCAGTTTCAAGCCATTTCCAGTGCTAAAACCAATCAAAATCATCTCTATTTCTGTAATATGTCTTCCATTCTATCAAATGAGACAAGAAATCGCAAATACAACTATAAAAAACATACGAAAAAACACTGCAAAGTTGCTGTTTTAATCGAAAAATCATGATTTCAGTTTTTTTCTCTCATTATACACAGTCTGCTGCAGGATCTGTTTTATGTAGTGCACACATACCACATAGATGTATTCTCTCATATCTAGGCCCAAATGTACCACTCACAGTTTATCAGAGTGAGCTGAGCTCATGGCGTAGATCTACGGTTTGGACACTCACCGTAAAGCCGTAGATCTACGGGACGGACCCTGAAAGGGTTAACTGTAAAATTGGCCAAATTACCAACTCCTGTGCACTTTATAGGGTAGTTGTCACTGTGCAAATTGTGCCCAGACCACTAAAAGAGTGGACACGGAGCAATATTAATTTCAGGGGTCTGGCCAATGAAAAGGTTAAACATCAAGGACTCACTCTTGACATTAAACATTTGATTGGTACAGTAATATGAGAAGACCAATCATACTGAATCCTAAAGTTGGTCATTTACTGCAATTAGTAATTCATATGCAAGTTTCAACCACATTTTATGAACATTTTATAATTCACTCTTACGAGGAATCATTGCTGTTGGTTATACAGAAAGAAGATAAAAAGCACAGAAAAACGGAAGCCTGATAATTAATCCCTGCATCAGAAACGATTTCAAGAGATTCAAAGAACTGCAACTAAAAGCACAGAATAAGGGGGATACGATTACATTCACAACAGGAATAATGGAGGTATAAAAGGGATAAATTTTATATCTTATTTTCCATGTATACACTCACCATACATCACTTTTAAGCCATTTTATCTGATTTAAAGGTTATGTAAATTAAATGCAAATGCCCATACATCTACATTTCTAATACTCGGTAAAACACCAAGATCTGACATAAATCATGTTAATTGTCTACTCCAACTGTAATCTGACTCTCCAGATATAATTACCATTCCTTCTCATGCATTATTTTCACCACCCATTAATTATACTGTACCTAAAACTGTCAATCAAGATAACCATTTACTCATATCATGTTCAACTTGGCAATCAAGTCTTCAACTATGCAATATCAATTAGTGTTACATCTTAGTTTTACACCTAGTTTTAAGTTAACTCTAAATGATGTGTATCCTACAAGCTTTATGTTCTTATATACACAACAGTACTGCAGTAGGATTTGCAGAATTTGTTTGACTAGCTTGTTTCCATCAGTAGACTAAAGCTCCTACTGACTAGCTTGTTTCTATCAGGAAACTTAGTAAGAAATGTACAAAACAGGAGTGAATAAACAGACAAGTTTGTTGAAGATAAATTAGAAACATTCATAGGAAACCACACATTATTTCTCTTCACAGGGGGTGGGGAGGGGAGAGCCTTTATGCTGAAGGGTATAGAGGAATTTGTAGATGAATGGTTCAGAGAACCGACATGTTGATAAATTAGACACAAGTGCAACTCTTGGGTATCTTTATTGAGGAAACGTTTCGCCACACAGTGGCTTCATCAGTCCATACGTAGGAGAAACTTGAAGAACAGGAGGAGAATGAGGTAATCAGTCCCTCAACCTTGAGTCGATGTGTTCAGTCCATCAATCTTGAATAGAATACGGCATATCAGCGGAGAAGCAGCTTATAAACCGTATGGCAGGAGAGGTGAAGCAGTCATAGGTCGTGTCACATTTGTTTCTCCTACGTATGGACTGATGAAGCCACTGTGTTGCGAAACGTTTCCTCAATAAAGATACCCAAGAGTTGCACTTGTGTCTAATTTATCAACATAGAGGAATTAAAGCTATCCTGCCCTACCTTGGATCAAACCTGTCTCCCATTCCCAAGGTGGCAGTATGAGCCCTACTCTAATAATTGTATATTATATATATTGGTAACCGGTTGGCAAAAACAGCACAGTATTCAAATCTAGCAAAATTTTCCTTCATATACAAGATGTTTCAAGTCATGCAAGTCCCCCAAATTTCTAGAATACTGTACTAAAATTATTTATCACTTACAAGGCTTCACTCAATTAGGACAAAAACGTAAAAAAAAAATTATTAAGATGAAGCTAATTTCAGTGTATTGAAATTAATTTCAGTCTAGACTATCACCTACACAAGAGGCTACAGGATAGCTATGCAATGCTGGAATAAATTAGTATGAAGTGAAATTTGTTACCTCTAAAATAGTATTTGTATTATTAAATTATACAACTTAATAAACTTCAATAACACACGTGTTAAATCTGTATGGGTTATACAGAATAAAATTCTCTATGTGCAAATTACAATAAAAAAAACTGCAGTAGGCCCATACTAGACAGGTCCTATCAAAACCGTTGTACAGAATATATATATTTTTTGTTTAAATACAGTAGCAAACCACTAAAATAATAGGCAGTCATAGTATGATAAATGTGTATTTATTTCTGCCCTTGAATTATGATTTAATTATACTGATTTACTGCTAGAATTTCTAGACAGCCATTGTTGCTTTTAATCAGGAGTAAGCACTAAACCCACTGGAGTCATAAGTAAGTAAGTAAGTAAGTAAGTAAATTTATTCAGGTATACACAATACAGTTACATAGAATTATCATACATAGCAGCATATGTGTAGAGAACCTAGGATAACCCAAAAAAGTAGATAAATCCAGTTCCTTGGATTTATCTACCCCCTTCAATGGCACCAGGGTACCTCCTAGAGGGGACAACTGTTGGTAGATACTGACAAAAGCCAACAAGTTGGAATGAAGATGACTACCAGGGACAGCTGTTGAAATCTTTGGTGCTGGGATGACCTGTTGAAATTTCTAGAAGCTACAAATGCAACGTATGAGGACAAAAAGCAAGTGGCTATTGCAGCCAGTTACTGTTACTTTCGAAACAGGTCACAAGTATATCAGTTGTATCAACCCGACCTGGTTTTCAAAACAATATAACGAAACTATGTAGCTCAAATTAAGCGAGGTTCAATCCTAGGTAGGGCATATTAAAGAGAAGGCCCACACCTACTACCTAGGTTCACCAAGCAGTAAACATATTTAGCAGATTGTTCAGTCATCCTGGTAAAAACCTAGATCCCCCCCCCCAACGTAAGCCACAATGTCTGGTGTTGACTACTGTGTTGGATTAATTTTCACACATTACTGTACAAGACAATTTTTAAATATAAACTCGTGCAATGAACCAGAATAAAAACTTACTTCCACATTTGGTGGTTCTTTAATTACCCTGGATTAAATCATTTAGGGTTAATAATTTGAAGTTTCTAATCTGTACAGACCCAGCCCTGTATATTATCTACTGTTAAGTGTTCATTTAAGGCATTCTGTCAAAACTGTATTACAATGTTGTAAACCGTGTTTAAATTCGCTTCAGTGTACAGTATATTTCAATTCTAAAAGTGCACTCCTTAGTATGGAGACAAATAGTTTAATAATACTCACACACTAGGTAACTTTACTGTGGTAAAACAAAGGTTCTATATAACTGCATTTGTGATTTCCATTGTCTATCAATCACTAGATACTCAAATGCAGTCCTTTGTACCCTTGTGACAACTCACCTTGTACACTTGGTTATTTACGTGTAAATGAGGTGTAATATTTTATTTTCGTTGAAGATGTAACATATAACATCAACACCTGTGTAGACAAAAGGTATCAGTACACTGCAGTAGGCCTACTGGTCCATCTCGTCCACCCACACTCACTGATATCTATAACCTATTTTTCAGTTACTCAAAGTTCTTACTATAATGACGCTAATACAGTTTGTCTATTTTTTTGTATTCCATGTTTAAAAGTCTATAAGGCAATTTCACGCAACTTGATTTAGGCACAGGTACACTTAAGTATAATCATACGTAGTGCAAATTACCTAGGATAATCCCTCCAAAAATTCACCTTTTTCTAACGTGACATTTTCATTCGGGTCTTTGGAATTTTTAAAACGGTAAAATACGAAAACATACCAATATTCAACGGTGTACAAATATGCCTGGCGAGGGAGAAACGGGTTAAAAAAATGTAATTTTACATGCCTGGTTTTTAGGTTTCAAGAAAATAACAGCCGATGAATAATTAAAAATATATAATAAAAAGGAGAGACTAGCTGGCCGCCCAGCACTACGCCGACCACCTCAACTTTACTCCCCGCCTAGATTACAATGGGGGAGCACTAAACCAGTAGGGACTACACAGCGCCTGTGGGGGGGGGGGGGAATGGAAGGCATTCAGGGATGTTGAGCAGATCCAATTCCCTTAAATTAAGCTCCCCTCCCCAGCATCATGGAACCTCCCGTAAGGGAGATGGACGGCTTCCCCACCTAGAAAAAAAAAAAAACCCACCTGGAAGTACATGAAGAGTGTGACCCACTGGTAGTATTTATGGTGTTTTATCTGAAACTGGTCGTCAGGGCCGTGTATGGCAGGGTTAGCCACACCAGGATGAGGCACCTCCTCTCCCACCACAGCACCCGTCAGGGAAGGGATGGTGAAGGTGGAGTGGATCCAGCAGTAGGTGTCCATGATGCCTGGGTCCACACCTTCCACGATACAGTCTATGGGGTCCCCGAAGTACTGCTTCTGCGTTATTAGCAAACTGAAGGCCACTAGGACGAACATAGTCGCCTTGTAGTGCATGCGAAATATATTATTGTCGATACTGACGGAGTCTATCTTCAGTAGACCCCGGATAGAGCCAAAAACATCATACATTTTGACGGTTTTTTTTAGGCTAAAGCAGAGAGAGGACTGGCGGCACTAATGTCCTGGTGATCTAGAGTAGCACTGGAGTCCTGGTGATGGCGAGAGAGGAGGTACTAGCAGCTCCTGACGAAGGATAACAAGGGGGGGGGGGTAGTACCAGTACTTCCTGACGAGAGGGTAACAACAATCACACGTGTGTTCCTAGTGACGTCTAGCGTCACACTCCGAGCACCAGGAGCACCACCGGTCACACTAGCCTCGCACCACCAGCACCACCATCATCAGGCCCGTTCCTGAAAACACCTCCACTCCAACACTCCCCCTGCCACCAGGAACAACCACCCCCCAATCACCCCAATGTGATTCTCTAGGCCTAAATCCACCCCCTTGTCGTGGTTTACCTACACCAGAAGAATCTAATATGCTTAATAATGTCTATTGGAAAATATGGTGGAGTAGGATTATGGAAGAGGATGTGATATGGTGGTGTCTGGTTGGTCAGAGGGGCAGCCAGGACCCAAATCATCCCTAGATGCCAAGACGCATTTATGCATTATATTATACCGCCATTAATTTTCCCTCTAGATATTTCTACCCACGATCAACGGACGCTCGATATCGCCTAAGACCGTGATAACACGATAAGGCATGAGATAAATGCGATAAGATAGCAGTTAGAGGGAAATAAAAAGAGTGTGGCATGTGAAAGGGGAGAGTGGAGTTATACAAGGCCTCACTTCTCTCCTTCCCTGTCTCTCACTGATAACCTTAATGCAACATACAGAAAGGATCCTCTCACACTTGGACCTTATAATGTATAGAAGATGTAAATGATTTGAGTCGAGCTTAATTATGTGTAATTATATGTTGCAATCTTATCAGGGGTGCCTTGATGCTGGTGAGGGGGCTCTTGATCCAGGGAAGAGGACCTATCCTCCTCTCCCTTGGATCAAACCTGATTACTTAACTCCTTTATCACTATGGGTTTACCCCCTTCCCTGATTATGATAATATTGGTAGTAATACTAATCGGCAGATAGAGACGCAACAAGACATTTATTAAAGCAATGATTCGCCCACTAGGAGCCTTATATAGCAAATATATACATTACATAAGACAACTTTATTTCCAAACAAGATTTATTAGCGTTATAATAGTATGTTAACAGTATATAGTATATTAAAACCAGGTTAGACAGGGACATGAGTGGGTGGGTGGAAGTTAAACCTGCCAAGCATAGGCCAGTAGGCCTGTTGCAATGTTCCTTCATTCTTGTGCATATCATTTCGAGCAGTTGAAACAATATATAAGAACATAAGAAAGAATGAGCACTGCAGCAGGCCTACTGGCCCAGGAGCTGAACCACCAGCACAGCAACACTTTCTAATGCATCATCTTTCTTTTACGGCCTTTGATCTTTTTGTCTTACTTTTCCAAAATATTTCTTATGGACTGCTCGATATTTTATTTCCGTCCATTAACTTTCAAGAGGGTGTCAAGTTGCCCCAGGAGTTGTATAACCTTTGGGGTCACACAGCGCCTGGGGGAATGGAAGGCATTCCGGTTTGATCCATGGGAGGGCACAGATCCAGTTCCTTGGATCAAGAGCTCCTCACCGGCTTTAAGGAACCTCCCATGAACGACCAGTTACTGAGAGGGTTGGTCTGGTGACTGGACAGTGGGGAGGTGACCACCTCAAATACTTTTTTCTCCAAGGTTGATGGATTGATTACATCATGTATATTTCACTACTATACCTGCTCCCTCTGTGTGTGACTGAAGAAGCCTACTGTGTAGTCGAATTGTTTCATTAGTAACGATGCACATGTGTCTTAATCTTCAAGAACGAAGGAACACTGTAGTAGGCCTACTGACCCATGCTAGGCAGGTCTAGCACACATGATCATATACTGTGCAACCTATTTTTAAAGCTACCGAAAGTTCTCGTTTCCCTCAATGGCACTACTTGGAACATTAACCCACAACTCTGTTGCCAAACTAATACTTATATCCTACTTAAATTTGTCCATTTTGAATCCACTGCTGCGAAACCTGTCTTGTTTTGATATTTTCAGCTCGTTAATTACTTATTACAGTTTTCCATTTATGGTAGATAAGACACACGGGCAACAGTTAGGCAACTTTATTCCGAAACGTTTCGCCTACACAGTAGGCTTCTTCAGTCGAATACAGAAAGTAGGCAGGAGCAGTAGAGATGTGAAGACGATGTAATCAGTCCATCACCCTTAATGTCGCAGAGTTGAGGTTGTCAGTCCCTCAGCCTGGAAAAGAGTTCTGTTCCATAGTCTGAAACAGTCTGAAAAGACAAGCGAGTGTGGAAACTTAGGGGAGGCGTAACCACTTTGGGTCGATTTTTTTCCTCGTCCGATTTCTTTCATTTTTAGGTGCACATGAAAACGTGTTCATGAAGTTTAAATTCTCTGTAAGTTTCAATAACATAGCCCAAAAAAAACGACAAAATACCTTTCAATAGTGGACTTCTAGGGGAGTCAAATGCACTGTTGCAGCCTTTACAGAGACCCACGCAAAAGATTAATTTGACAGTGAAATATGGACACCTGGATACAATCTTTTCAGATGCGACAGAAAACACAGGCAACAAGGGGGGGTTGGCCTGTATGTCAAAGAGTCTCTCATTTGCAGAGAGATACTGAACACCACAAATGATGTAGTTGAAGTTCTGACAATAAAAATCGAGAACCAAAACTTAGTCATTGTACTTGTATATAAGCCACCGGATGCAACTTCCCAACAGTTCAAAGAACAACTGTCAAAAATTGACTCCTGTCTGAATAACTTTCCAGCCCCATCCCCAAACATCACTTGGTGAACATTAAAATGGTATAAAATACCGACAGGTTGTTAGGTAAGACACATATGCAACAGTTAGGTATTAGATATTGTTTCATACTATGGAATAATGCTCTTCTCCAGACTGAGGGACTGACCACCTCAAAACTTTAAGGGTGATGGACTGATTACATCGTCTTCAAGTATCTTCTGCTTCTATCAACTTTTCTGTACTTGACTGAAGAAGCCTACTGTGTAGGCGAAACGTTTCATAATAAAGATACCTAACTGTTGCATATGTGTCTTACCCATCACTTGGTGACTTCAATCTAAGACACACAAAATGGAAGAATATAGCAAATAATGTCGTAGCAGAAATAATCCCTGGAGGCAGCTCAGATGAAAGGTCACACACACACAAGAGCTGCTGAATTTCTGCAACAAACACACCCTAAGTCAGCAGATGGTGGAGCCAAGAACACACTGGACCTTATTTTCACAAATAATGAGGACCTGGTAAGGAATATAACAATATAAAAAACAGCAAATTCTGATCACAATCACAGGAGTACTGATCGGCAAGAACATCATCTGGGATCAGGTAAACTATGCCCTAAATGAAACATATTGGGAGGATATCTTAAATTACATGGACCCTAACCAATGCCTCGAAAAGATCACCCTCCTGGTAGCTGAAGTATGTTAAAGGTATATTCCTATAAGACAAAAGAAAAGAAGAACTGGAGAGAGAGAGACGCTCCCTCTACAGGAGAAGACGAAGAATCATTGAGCTCCTCAAGAATGCCAGATTATCTGATACACGGAAGGAAGTGCTAACCAGGGAAGTGGAAAATATTGAGCTGAAGTTAAAGGACGCATACAGAATCCAGGAGAGACAAGAGGAGCTAAAAGCGATTAATGAAATTGAAAGAAATTCGAAATATTTCTTTTCATATGCCAAAAACAAGTCAAAAACCACTTCTAGTATAGGACGCTTGCTCAAACAAGACGGATCCTACACAGACGACAACAAAGAAATGAGCGAGATACTAAAATTGCAATATGACTCAGTGTTCAGCGAGCCATTAACCAGTTTAAGATAGACAATCCAAACAATTTTTTCATGAATGAGCCTCAAAACCCTGCCAATGTAGGCCAGATTTATGACATAACCCTAGCTCCACTATGAGAAAGCCATCGACGACATGCCCATGCACTCAGCCCCAGGCCCAGACTCGTGGAACTCGGTGTTCATTAAGAACTGCAAGAAACCTCTCTCACGGGCCCTAAGTATGCTATGGAGGAGCTGAGAAACAGGTGAGATTCCACGAATGCTGAAAACAACAGATATAGCCCCACTTCATAAAGGTGGCAGCAAAGCAATAGCTAAGAACTATAGGCCAATAGCTTTAACGTTCCACATCATAAAAATCTTTGAAAGAGTTCTAAGAAGCAGGATAGCAAACCACCTGGACTCCCAACAACTGCACAATCCAGGGCAACATAGTTTCAGAGCAGGTCGCTCCTGCCTTTCGCATCTGCTTGATCACTATGATATGGTCCTAGATGCACTGGAAAACAAACAGAATGCGGATGTAGTATACACAGACTTTGCAAAAGTCTTTGACAAGTGCGACCATGGTGTAATAGCACACAAAATGCGCGCTAAAGGGATAACCGGCAAAGTAGGCAAATGGATCTTAAACTTTCTAACCAGTCGCACACAAAGAGTAGTGGTAAACGGAGTTAAATCAGATGCTGCCATAGTGAAGAGCTCTGTCCCACAAGGCAGAGTACACTCACCTATTCTGTTCCTTATTCTCATATCAGACATAAACAGAGATGTAAACCACAGCACTGTATCATCTTCAGACGATACTAGGATCTGCATGAGAGTGTCATCCATTGAGGACACGGCAAAGCTCAAAGAAGATATAAACTAAGTTTTCCAGTGGGCAACAGAGAACAATATGATGTTCAATGAAGACAAATTCCAACTACTCCGTTATGGAAAACTGGAGGAAATATTAGCTAAGACTGAGTATACTACAAACTCCAATCACACAATAGAGCGGAAAAGTAATGTGAAGGACCTGGGTGTTGTAATGTCCGAAGACCTCACCTTCAAGGACCACAATAATGCCACTATCACATCTGCTAGGAAACTGATAGGATGGAAAATGAGAACATTCAAGACAAGAGATGCTAAGCCAATGATGATCCTTTTTAAATGTTCCGGGTGAAAAGCTCTGTTCCACAAGGCACAGTACTCGCTCCCATCTTGTTCCTCATCCTCATATCTGACATAGACAAGGATGTAAGCCACAGCACAGTGTCTTCCTTTGCAGATGACACCCGAATCTGCATGACAGTGCCTTCCATCGCAGACACTGCAAGGCTCCAGGCAGACATCAACCAAATCTTTCAATGGGCTG